TCAAGAACATTGCCTTCATGAAATCATCTGGAATTGATTAGAATGCCGTCTGATCCCAGAATAAATTTAGAAAAAGGATGACGATCCGATGTGTCAACTTTTACTACTGCTGAGATACTCATTCGGTACCAAAAAGTAGGGCTGCACGATTATGGCCAAAATCATAATCGCGATTATTTTGATCAATATTGCGATCACGATTATTTATCACGATTATTCATTAATTTTAGGGACAACATCTTTTTATTGCACTGTCACGTTTAAATGAACAAGAACACTGCTTCCACTTCCATTGTTGTGCTACATTCTGGCTAATGTACAAATCTTTGCATCAGACTGGTCCTTATCACAGTGCATCTCGTAGAAGGAAAATATAAATAGAATAGTATCAACACTTTTTACCCAAAATTAAATCAACACAGCACTGCTTTTACTTCCATGTTGTGCTACATTCCAGCTTATGTACGTCTTTGCATCAAAATAAAACGTATACGGTTCTTATTCACCTGAAGCAAAATATAAATAACATTTTTACCCAAAATAAAGGCCTAACTAAAAATAAATATGTGTTGCTCACAGTATCTATTGGACACATGTCTTTGGCCAAATGAAATGCGATTGCATCCGTTATTCCAGCGTGTCTTTGGGAGGTGGATGGATATGCAGGGTCGCTGTTATGGGTTTCTGGTTGACGTTGGACATGGACGGAGATTCAGTGAGGTAACGTTAGCTTTGGCCTTAATGCATTCGTCGTACTGTGGTTTGTGGTGATTTTTGAGGTGGCTGAACAAGTTAGTTGTATGGCTATGCGTCGCAGACACAACTCTAACGCACTCTGTGCATATGATTTGTTCTTGGTTAACATCACTTGCCCTGAATCCGAAAAACTTCCAGACAACGGATGATGATCCTTTTTGAGGGGCTAGCTCCTCTCCTGTTGCTCCTGACATTTGATTTACCTTTCACTCGACACCCGTGACCGTCTGCCCTCTGTTCTGTTGTCTGTCTCTCTACTCTTCTACTAATAGCGAGTCTGCAGGGTGCGCGCATGACACCTCCCATCTCGTTCGCCCCCTGGTGGTCGGCTGACTGTTAGTTGAGGAAGCGCTTGATTTGATATGTAGCAGAGCACGCATTTTAAACGCCAATATCGCTGACGATCATGCTCATTTAATCGTGGCAGCCAAATTCGTGATCGCGATTAAAATTCGATTAATTGTGCAGCCCTACCAAAAAGTGCTGACGCTTACAACCCAGCCCTGATTAAAAGGCGGCGGATTCAGGACGTGCGATGCTCAGAGTTCAGCCGCCCCGCAGTGTGGGCTGACTGACTCTCTCATACATTTTTATCCTGTTTAACTTTGCTGCCTCGCTTTGTCAGAGTCACCGGTGCTTCAAAAGGCGTCGGGGACCCATTACAGCTTTATGTAACGTTGCAGAGACAGGGAACGTACACACACACACACGACCCCCCTCTCCCTTCTTTCTGTGAACAAGGGGTTTCTCTACAGCTGGGTAACAAAGCATGACCCAATAATCCCAAAGCTTGACTCAAAGCTTAAGAACCCCCCCATCTTATATCCCTTCCTCCCGCTCTCTGAGGACTTTATAAGGCTCTGACGAAGGGGCTTCTGGGTGCGTGTGTGCGAATGACGTTTTTTTTTTTTTTTTACAAATACAAGCACGCTTAGCTTTGATTATTCTTATTTTGACTCGAAGCGAGGAGTAGATTATTATGAACACATGGGCCGATGAGTTGCTGATGAGCTCACGTCTCTTCAATTCGTCAGTATCGCTTCAAAGAGGCTGACAGACAAAGACCTTTGCGTGTAATGGGTGGAGGGCATATGGGGCATACCAACTCATTTTTTGAAATTGTTGATGCATACACGGACATCTTTGACGGCAACACATTATCAGTTCCTACTGAATCGACCCTCTTTTCCCAAACCATGTTATTATTACTAAGCTTGCTGGAGGCCCTGGTGCATAAACTTTAAGGGCAGCAGGAAACTCCTCCTAGTCTGGTCTTCAACTTTCCGAGACTCTGACACCGATTCTGCCAATCCCACACAGTAGAGAAGCAGATCACAGACCACAGACCCCCCCTCCTTCCTTAGCACTAGATCTCATTAGCAATTACCTGGAGAAAAAAGAAAAAAAAAAAAAAAACAAGAGCAATTCCAGATCTGGCTTCAGGCTTCTGAGAAACCGGGACAAAGTCTCCAGACGAGTTTGAGTTGTGATGGGGAACAGGAGCTCCCGCGGTGCTTGTGATGGCTGTGAGGAATGACGAAAGAAATATAAATCACATCTTGTGATGGCCTCGCTTCAGTGTTTCCAGTGCGTCTGGTTGCGTGCTTGGTGGGTGTCTTTACAACCTGTCGTGCACCAGCGGACGAACCAACAGCAGCATCACCCAGCCTCGGCTCCATGCAGACAGATGATGACTTTTTGCTGTAAGTCATCATCTGTAAGTCATCATCAGACAGATGACGACTTACAGCAAACTGAACTGAATTAAAGTGGAATAAAAGCTGTTGGTTTTGGTGTACAAAACATTTACGCCGCCTTGTCTCGCTCCAAACGCCCCCCGGCTAAGTTCCTATTACAAAGAGCACTTGTAATAGGTCGCTTCCTTAAAAAAACAAAACAAGTACTTGTCGCTACTCTAAGTGGCGATTATATTATGCCATGTCGGGTGAAAGCGATCTTGCCACTGCCGTTGTACAGGTTGCGTAACACGATCCTTAATGAGCGCCGTGCTCGGTCGCACAGCCCATCCGAAATCCAGCTGTGCAGCAAAACCAATCGTTCCCCTGTTAGGTGAGTCAGTGAACACCCCGCCACAGTAACCGGTTCCCGTGGTGTGCAGTGTTGGAACAAGCCAAATCTTATCTTGGTGTTACACAGCTATTTGGCCCCCGTCTTCTGCATTTGTTGTCGACAGACAAGACAAGACCGTGTGCCTGCCTGCTTTATGGCTGACCTTCGGGGCGGGGGGGGGGGGGGGGGGCCCGGGGGGGGAAAGACTGGAAGTGTTTTTGAGTGTGTATGCTTTTTTTTTTTTTTTTTTGCTCGTTTAAAATTTCAACTGACGCTCACAACCAATGGGAGTGCGGTTTCTTAAATGCCCCCAATTTGCACGCTGGCATTATGTGCTACAGAACTTCTGAATTATTTCCAATGGAATCCTGTACATGAACACACCAGAATTAGCAGATTATTCCCCCAGTTCTGCTGACACACAAGATACAGTTTCACCTGTGTGTGTGTGTGTGTGTGTGTGTGTGTGTGTGTGTGTGTGTGTGTGTGTGTGTGTGTGTTGGAGCAGCAGGTCGATGTCCTTGTAATGACAGGAAGTGTTTAAAAGTAGGTCACTGCTTCGAACTACCACAAACACCCTTCACTAAAAGTTATGGTTTACAAACAAGCCCTGCATCTGGTGCAAATGTAAAGGCCCTGGGGGGCAGAACAAATCTGACTTCAATAACTGACATAATCAACTTCCTCAAACGGACAAGAACTCATCAAGCCAAACAGCGACACACAGATCAAATGTCTCACTTTCATATTCACAAGTCTCAAATTTCATTTAATTATGGGGGTGGAATCGATAAGCATATACGATGCAATTAAATACAGGCATTCACAGAGAAACGCAGGAGTAGCCACAGTCTCTCCCCCCCTCCCCTCTCTCTCCAGATACCTTGGAACATGAAACCCCCAGACAAGCTCCAGTGGCTCTCACACCATATGGCCGAAGAAAATTCGTCTCCCGGTACCCACAAAAGGCTGGTTGTTGTTTTTTTGTCTTCCCCCCACAATCTATCGGTTTCATCCCAGCTATTTCCCCGATGTCTAAAGCTAATTATGTGGCTGCGCGGAGCCGGGTGCGTGAGAGCTAATGAGAGCGTGAGTGGAGATGAAGCTGTGCGGAATGGCCCTTTGTTTGGAAACAGCCCTCTCTCCGCAGAGCGCTGGAAACGCGAGACGCTTATCGATCATTTCGACTGGGAAGCCCTTTTGTGTTGCGAGCGACTGAGAGGCTGCGGGTAAACGCACTAATAAAACGCAGTTTAGCGTTATAGGCAGAGTGCTAACGGGTTAACTTGAGTAATAAATATAAAAACAACACAAAACACTAGCGTGTATTCTCCACGCTGGTGGCGACTGCGCTCTTTGTCAGGTCCGACCAGCAGTGGCAAATAAACAAAAAGCTGCGGGGGGATTTTTTTTTTTTTTACGGATTAACGTTGGATTAATCATAATAAGGGACCCAATAACCGCCTTTGTTCCTCGCCTAAGCCGTCCTCAACCGACGGCGAGTTAAAGAATAAACGACTTTTTTTGCAACGAGGTATTCGCACAAACAAAAATAAAGCCCCGACGCTACGACGCTTTTGTATCCGCGTCTGTCAACCCTCCTTCCGCGCCTCCCCCCTGCCCGCCTGCCGGAGTTACGGCTCCAGCCAGCTCCGACCGTCGACGAGGAGCCCCGGAGAGGAAGGAGAGTGCTTGATAGTTGACTAAACCCGGTTTTCTCGTGTTTGAAAACCCCGTACCCACACACACACACGCACACAGCGAGGCTTCAACGTGTCAAGGCAACGCCGGGCAAAGGCGCAGCAGCCGGCGGTAGAGCTCCGAAGTAATGAAAAGCCACAATAGGAGGAAGCCCTTTAATTTTTTAACAGCAGCTGCTCGGCTAAGCTAGCAAGCGACATTATTTTCGCTTCTCTTTTCACAGAGGGGCCAAAAAAAGGTCGAAAAACTGACAGCAAACGTTTCCTTGTAAGCCCACTAAACTAAAAACACGCACAGAGCCAAGTGTGGTTGTATATTCGGGGAAAATAGCCGCTTTGCATACTTTCCACGATAGCAGCGAAAACTTCCATCAATCATCCCCAGTGGAGATCCAGCAGCAGAGACTTGGAAACGGTCCACACTGTTTGCTGTCAAAAAGCTTCGCTTCGTTTTTACTATAATATTCCACTTACCGACTTGTAAAACGTTTTCCACACAACCGGTCTCTAGCAGCCGGATACCCCGGCGGAAAGGCAGTCCGTCTCCCGTCCCCACTGCTCCGGCTGCCCCCACGGTAGCCGTCGTACCGGTAGATCCTCCGCCGGCGATTGTAGGTCCGGACCCAGCACCTACAGCTCCGCAGCCGCCGGTAGCACCCTCCTCGCCGGCGACTCGGCACTGAAACGAAGAGTACATGCATATCTCCTTTTCGTTGCGGGGAAAAGACCAGTAGACGATGCGGCGCTGGACGGGCTCCGGGATCCGCTCGAAGCGCTCCTCCACTCTCTCGAAGGCCCACTTTTCCGCTACTGCCTTCGCGGCGCAGTCCAGTAAGGACTCCGGAGAACGAAACCGGGAGCTGGGCAACCCGCTGCCGTGGCCGGGCCCCGGGCCGGGACCTCGGGGAGCAGGGCGCAGGCAGGGTCGCTTGCTGGCCGGTGGTAAGGAGAGGAGGGGATGGGGCGGCTGTTCTCTGCGTCCTTCCGCCATGGCGAGCCGATCAACACTGACGAGACGGACGGTGTGCGGACACCGAGCAGCAGCAGGAAGCCGAGTACACACACACTTTCAAACACGCACGCACACACACTGTGCAGCTAGTGTCAAACCAGACAGGATATCAGACAAGACTTCCGAGCACAACTTTCAAAATAAAACATGGTATTTACAAAGTGTGCGAATTGTTTAAGCGAATAAGGTTAAAACTTCTCATGAGGGTTTTTGTATTGTCATAATACATTATTGTTTAGTTGCACTCACCATACTACTCTAATTTATATTTTTATAAATATATTTCTACCCCTTTTTACACAATGCAACATAACATACCTTTGACGAATGCATTACAAATGTTGGTTATTTCAATGTTACTTTAAATATCAACTCTGCTACACTTTCAGGTATATTTTTCATATCTTATTTCAATATTACTCTCACCAATCAATAAGTCTGTCGCTTTCATTTTACTTCCTAATGTCTGATTTGTAATTAAATATGTTGTTTTGTTGGCTATGAATAGTCTGCGTATGGTTTTATTGAATAGGATCCTAATCAGAATGGGCTGGAGCAGAGGGGAGTCCAGCTGCAAACACAGGTCTTCCTAAATTCCACGTATACCTGTTCCCTTCCTAGCCTAATATTAAAAATGGTAATACAACTCTATTAAATGATGACTTATACTGAAGTATAACTGTTGGTGATGATGCTGGAGATCAATTCAAGCCACAATTGCTTGATTGAATAGAATCAAAAAGTTGGTAAAACAAGAATATACCCATCCCTTTACAGACCTATTCTGAAATAGCTGAACTTAAGAGCTGAACTTAAGTTCACTTCACCGTTTCTTTATAGGGAGTTCACCACAGAGGAGGAAACCTATAGGAGTTTGACCTATTCTTTATTATATGAAGGTGTTACATCCTCTTATCTGACCCTATTTCAAATCAGCAATTGATTGAACAGGAACTACAGTTGTTCAGACCTACATAGAGACCTACACTGATTGTTTTTAATGTTTACCTGTATTAATCCATAACAGGTTTCAGTGACCGCTCATTCCCGTTACTGTCCCTTATCATGTGATTTTTTTTTTACCAGGTTGTGAAATTATCAATTTTTCAGCCAATGTAGGTCAATCAATTATTTCAGATTAATTCATTTTATATAATTAAAAAATTCAGTTATTATTGAGAAACCTAATTTCCATGACAATCAGCAAAGTCATAGTTTAAAAATTAATATAAATTCCCATCATTATGTCCCATATAGTATGTTTTCTATCATTCATTTTACACTTTAAGTCAACTGGTTGTCTTTTGCCTTTAGTGTTGTCCTGCTCTGGCCTCCACAGCGGCAGAAACTACAGCATAGATGCAGTTATGTCAGGCAAGCATTTTATTGAATAAAAGTTCTCTGGTAATATTGAGTCTTTTATTTTCAAAGCCCAATCTCTTAATTTCCTGTCTCTAAAGCTACATGTCTGTGTGACTTGATGCAGCTGAGCAGGCAGAGAGAGAGAGAGAGAGAGAGAGAGAGAGAGAGGAGATTGATGGGAGGTGGAGGACGTTACATGTCACTAAACAACACAACAACAAAGCACTCCAGTCTCCTATCAGCGTGGAATGCCAGCTACAGCTCCCAAATCTGCTCGCTAATATTCAAATACGCTTTAATATTTAAATGAATGGGTGTAAGCCATTGATGCAAAAGCAAGCATTTGATGCAATAATAAGTTGGCAATGAAAAATACACACTTAAACCAAACACCAGTAAATGAGAAACAATCAAATGAAATAGATATACACATACATACTCCTATTGTTTTTTATTGCTGTTAAAATGATCGTTGCACTCTTCCTCTGACATGACGGTGAAGTTGCCAAACACTGGCGCATTTGAAGTCAAAGGAGATAATGATTCCCCGGCTTCTCCTCGTGAATAACAAAGTTACTGTTTTGTAAATTGAATTCCCACTGTTATGTGGCCCATAGGTATCAATGACCTCAGGTTAGTGAATACACATTCATTTGAATGGGTGCAGCACGCAGTTCTGTGGCCGTGTGCCGCAGCAGGACACGGAGGGTTCGGAGCCATGTTAAAGCCATTCAGAGCAATGAGCCTCGTTTTTCAGGCGGTATTAAACGCGCATGAAAGTTCAAATATTCTCAACTTTTCAGCCCCAGGCGCGCGGAGTCGCACTGCTCGTCAATGTCTCACTTGACCGAGGCAGCCAATCAATCAAGCAAGAGGCGGGCTTTACTACTTTACCACTGACTTCCTGTTCTGATGCCAGCAGATGTGGTGGCCTCTAAGCTTACTTGGCACAAAAAAAAAAAAAAATCACGTTCTGGTAACGCAGCGCTACTTGGATTTATAGCTGCAATATAATTACTCTTTTGGAAATTGTAATCCCCTAAACTACTCATAAGTAATATTATTTCAGTGTACGACTTTGTTTGTAACTACCACAGTGAAAGTGACCTCATCTTACTAATATTTTGGTACATTTTCATCTTTAAACTGTGAGAGCTTTTTGTAGTATAGCGCTACGGTCCTTTGGTTTGCCTGTGTAAGTGAATGTAGCGGCCCTCTGCTGCATAACAGAAAGAATAGCGACAGGCTGACAAACTGCGGTGGAGCAGACAACACCAGGCTTGTGCATGATTGAGTGTGTCCTTGTTGGCGTGTGTGTTTATAGGCTACAGACCAAATTCTACGATAAGCCATTGGAAAAAAAAGCTATATTTGCCTGTGGACATACAGTAGTAGAGGTCGGTATCTACTTTAAAAGAATACACCTTTTTGTTAAACTATCAAATTGGTCAACTTTTTAATGAATGTAAACACCGACCAATCAGAGTTCTTAAGTTCCCCTCGTGGTTGCATCCCAGAAATGCTTTGCAGAACGTTGGTGGTGTGGCTTAAACTTTAAAGGGCACTCTTTCGCTATGAATGGGTGGATGACGGGACACAAAGTACAGCCAAGGGATCGTTCATACTCGGTTAAGTTTTATCGACACAGGCATTAAAGTTGCATTATTGCAGGATAACACAAGACAGCATTTACACTACAAAGCAATTTAACAAAGGATCACTCATGTTGACCGAGTGACACACCGTGACTGCCTCTGAGGATAGACCGTTTGTGTCAGAACTACAAAGACCCGCATTCTAAGTGTGGCCATGTAGAACACGTATTAACAACTTATCCTTATGATGTGGTCGGATGACCTGTGTTTTGTTTTCAGCATGCTAAACCCTTCAGGCCTTTGAGGGGGGTAGACCTGTGGGCTACTCATGGACCTTTTTAAAGCGCTTCATGTGTTTTCTCTGTGAGGTGCACGCAAATTATTTCACAACGAAAATCAGCCCCGTCTCCTAAAAATGACGTACAACGGAACTGCATTGTGAATATTGTGTTGTGGATCATGTTTGCTTTTGACTTCCCACAGATACGTTTTAAATCAATCTGCAGATGTTGCCTGAACATAACCAAGTGCTTTTGTTGCATCTATGTTTTGTTTTAATTTTATCATCATTTTTAAACCAAACCATGTTTTTACCAAATCAAACAAAGTAGTTTTGTTGCATTTTTTGTTTTGTTTTACGCGAACCACGTGTTTCAAACAAGAAAATGTCTTCCCTTGAACTGTAATGGAGAGTGAAGTTTAGTTATATGGGGATGGTATTTTGCAGGGGACAGTGTTGACAAAAAGACATCATAGATGACTATTTTTGACTCCTGACTGGAAGTTATTCATCCGATTGCCAGGTGATGATGACTCAACTTAAAGGGTTGATTCACAAGGTGTCAAGTCTTTCTAGGAGCAATATTCAGGTGTTCATGTGGACACTGAACAAGTTTTTCTTGCTGTCATCATTCCTCCTCCTCATTTAACAAATCTCTTCCTAACTTTGCTTCCAATGGAAGTGATGGCGAACATAATCCACACCCATCCCGTGTGAAAATGTTTTCCAAAGTTTATCTGGAGTAATATGATGCTTCAACAGTCAGAGTTTGACAAATCAAGCAAGCTGTTTTCATCCAGCGCTGCAGTAGCTATACCTACGAAATCGATTCGTATGCAATCCACGTAATCGTGAACGACAAAGTATAAAGACATGACAAACCTACACAGGGCGGATGGGAGTGGTGATGGATGGGTCAAACAAAAACGGGTCTTTCACCCAGGAGACAGTTGTTAGTGCCCCATGTGAAACGAGAAGGCAATGTGGCTTTATTAGTATTTCACAATCTATTTCACAACCTTATCAAGGAGTTTCATTGCCTAAACCTAACCAAGATGTTTCCTGTGAAGACGGAAGTTTATTTTGAAAAGATTGTATGCGTGTAACAGGAAACAGTTAGGTGAAACACAAATAATAATAGGGAGTTTTATACAAAAAGATATATTATGACATAAACGTTAGTATACGTTAGGACTGTTGTCCTCCATCATTTTCATGTTCATCCAAAAAGATCAGTTTATTAAGTTGGACAATACACCTTCTATCACTCGGCACATGATCGAGTGTTCGCACTGAGCAAGAGAAGCGAAGGACCTGCTGGGGACACATGGAACACTTTAGTGCGGATGTCAGTCGGCTAATCATGTGACCTCAAAGGCTGGGTGGGGTTTGAGTGAAAAAGGGTTCTTTGGTAATCATGCGAAAAAACAGAGAGACCCGAGGCACTCTCAAAAATGTTGTTCATTAACTCACAATTATGACTTGCCAAATAATATAAAACCACCTCGATATATGTGTTTGGAGAGCATTCGTTCCTAACATATCATTTACGTTCTTCTCTGACCTTGTATGGGCATCTCCGCTTTCTCATTTTCACAGTAATTGACAGTTGTGTGGGCGGAGAAGATGTTTCATCAGCCTGGGATGAAGCCAATCTGCACATAATGACTAATAAAATGTCTGATGAATGGACGTCACGGCAGAAATTAAGCAGACTATCTCCTCTGAAGTGAACTCTTTGGAGACGTGGGGGAGACATTTGTCGCACGAACGCAGAGACAATATCCAGACCTGTGTCTCTCTGTGCTTCCCCTTGCCTCTTCTA